GAGAGAGAAATGAATTATAGTAGATGGGGTAGAGAGAGAAGATGGGAGGGGAGGGGAGGGGAAGGGGGATAGTAGAGGATAGGAAAGGCATCGGAATACAACATACACTAGTATGGCAGTATGTAAAAAAGTGGATGTGTAACCGATGTGAACCTGCAATATGTATATGGGGTAAAAATGGGAGTTCATAATCCACTTGAATCAAACGTATGAAATATGATATGTCAAGAGCTTTGTAATGTTTTGAACAACTAATAATAAAAAAAATTAAAAAAAAAAAGATTGAACCTAGGGGCACTTAACCACTGAGCCATGTTCCAACCCTTTTTCTTTTTTAAGACAAGATCTTGCTAAGTTGCTGAGTATTTTAGTCAGTTTTTTTTTTCTGCTGTGACTAAATGACCTGACAATTTTAGAGGAGGAAAAGTTTATTTGAGGGCTCACAGTTTCAGAAGTTTCAGTCCACAGATAGCTAGATCCATTCTTCAAGGCTCGAGGTGAGTTAGAATATCAAGGTGGAAGAGTGGTGGAGGAAAGTGTCTCACATGAAGATCAGAAAGCATAGAGACTCCACTTGCCAGATGCAAAATATATATCCCAAAGGTATCCCCCTAATGGCTCACCACCTCCAACTACACCTTACCCGCCCTTTAGTTATCCTCAGTTAATCCTATCAGGGATTAATTCACCTCTCTCGAAGAAACCCAATCATTTCTCCTCTTAACTTTCTTGCATTGTCTGATACATGAGCTTTTGGAGGACATCTCACATCCAAACCAAAACACTGAGGCTGACTTTTAACTTGTAATACTCCTGCATTAACCTCCTGAGCAGCTAGGATTACAGGTGTATATACTACCACACCCACCTTATATAAGTCTTCCTAATCTTATCTTTACTTGAATTCTACATTCAGCTCAAAATATTTCTTAATTTTTATTTTGACTTTTCCTTTGATTTTTGAATTATAACAGTTATTTTATTTCTCTTTGGGGAATTTTAAATTTTATATTATTAACTTTTAGTTTAATTGCCAGTGGTCAGATAGCATACCATGCATGATTTCAACACTTTCAATATATTGAAACTTGCTTTCTGGCTAAGTTTAAAACCAAATTTTGTTGTTGTTATAGTTGCATTTAGAAAGAATGTTTGTTCTGCAATCATTGGTACAGTTAATCCTGTTATTCATATGTGTATTTTTATTCACTTTTTTCATCTTTTTGTTATGTCATTAGAGAGTGATGTTAAAGTTTCCCACTGTGATTTTTCATAAATCTTCATGTAATACTGATAAATTTTGCATTATATGTGTCAAAGTGCATATAAATTAGGGGAACTGTTATTTTACCCTTGTGAATTGACATTTTTATACTTTTTTTATACTTTTGCTACCCTCTTTTTGATGCTTCTAATGGTTTTTGAATTAAAGTCTATTTTTATATTACTGTAGCTGCACCAGCTTTTTTTATTGATTAAAAAAACTTGGGGCTGGGGTTGTGGCTCAGTGATAGAACACTCACCTAGCACACGTGAGACCCTGGGTTGGATCCTCAGCACCACATAAAAATAAATAAATAAAATAAAGGTATTGTGTCCAACTACTTCTAAAAAATAAATGTATAAAAAGTCTTATTTTTAATCTTACCTATTTTAATTTGTATTTATTATAAGCAGCATATGGTTAATTTTAAAAGTACTCTCTGTCAGTCTTTACTACTATCTTATGTAGTTCATTCATGAATTTAGCATAATTGCTCTTATGTTTTGGTTAATAAATAATATTTATTCTTTGTGCTCTATCTGTGTTCCTTTTTTTTATTCCTTTCTAACCTTTTGGATCAGTTGGTTATCTTAAAATTTTTTATTGTTTTCTCCATTAACTTATAAGTTGTACTTTTATTCTATTTTTTAGTGGTTATTCTAGAATATATTGTTCATTCTTGACTTAAATTCTAATATTAATTAGTACTTTTGCCCTTTTCCCAGGCAATGTAGGGATTCCACTTAACACTTCTAACTTACATACTTTTTTTTTGGTGGTGGTGGTGGTACTGGGGATTGAACCCAGGACCCTGCATATACTAGATGAGTGCTCTACCACTGAGCTATATCCCCAGGTAAAACAAAGAGAGCTATCTGGATTAGAAAAACTTCAAAAATTTTCTTTAGGGGCTGGGGATGTGGCTCAAGCCGTAGCGTGCTTGCCTGGCATGCGTGCGGCCCGGGTGCGATCCTCAGCACCACACACAAAGATGTTGTATCCACCGAAAACTGAAAAATAAATATTAAAAAAATTCATTCTAAAAAAAAAATTCTTTAAAGGATACATAAAACACTACCTTCCTTCCACACACACGACCTATAATTCATTCTGCCTTTGATTTCCAAGTTTTCTTCCTCCCTGGATCTTTTGTGGCTGGTTATCTTTTGTTTCCTTGTGCTTCTGATTTTCTTTTTCACTAATGAAAAGCTTTCACTTTACTGCACTTTCTCCTTTGCCGACATCTCTGCTATAATCTGATATTTTGTCTTTCAGCTTTCTTATTTCTTCTTGGATTTTACTCCAAAAGTCCATTCTTCATGAGATAGCTAATTAAATTACTGCAATCACAGTGGCAAAATAAACAGTCACGGTAGATGGGGTATAGTCTTTGAGTATTGACTTTTTTTGGCTGCTTACATGTTTACTATTCAAAAGATTTTTGCCACTTAGAATGGTACTAATTTGGGGCTGGGATT